GATATTTATCTATTAGTCTATCATCTATTCATCTAACTATGGTCAATTTTCTATCTATCTATGTCTCACACATCCATCCATCCTCTGTAAAGTATTTCACAGTGATTAAAAGCTTGGGCTCTAGAGACAGAAATCTGATTTCAACTCCTACTCCTATCACTTACTAACTGTGTGACTTTAAACAAGTTATTCAACCTCTCTGAGAACTGGTGTCCTCTACTATTTGATGGGCATGATGGGAAATATCTACCACTTTAGGCAGGTTTGAGGATTAAACGAAATAATGCATGTAGATGACTAAGTATAGAATCTAACATAAAGCAAGTGTTCAGCAAACAGGAGCTACAATGATAACAGAACTTTCCAGAACCCAGACCTTCAAAAACAGCAGGAAAGAAAAAAAAACAAAACCCAAAAACAAACCTCGAATGCTTTCAGCTCTGAAACTTCATACTTCATCTAGAATGACACCTACATCATGGTCACTGAAATCATGGAAATTACCCATCTATTATTTCAGGGAACAATCATTTGTGAAGGTCAAACATGAGCAGTCCCTGTCAGGCTTTGAGGAGAGAGACACTTTAGTAAAGACTATCAGAGGCTAGACCCCTGAATAGGGTCTTGAAGGATGAAGAAGAGCTCAGCAGATAGAAAAGAAGAGAGCATGCTTGGCCTTTGCTCTCAGCATTTCTGGCAAGTGGCCGGCACTGACTTTCATCAGCAGCAGGGTCCTGGAGAGAACAGCGATGATGTCACAAGCTCTGAGCAGAGGTGTGTGGCAGGCCCCACTTCTCACCCTGCTAGAGATGACCTATGTATGTGTCCCCTGAATCTCAACTGAATAACCACAAGCAGAGACAGTACTCAGAGAAGTGGGTCGTGAGTTCAGAAAGAGTTCTGTAAGGTGATGATATCGTGTTAAGAAATCAGGTCCAGAATATCAATGAAGTATTGTTGATTTTAATTATAAAGACAGGACAACATAGAAGAACTACAGGAAGTAAAGAAGGGAGATAAAATGCTAAAGATACAGCAGTGGAACGCACACAAACATGTCAGGAAAGAGGTAACAACTATCCTGAATACAGAGGAAAGAATGATTTTGAGTTATGTGTATTTCATAGTTCCTCTGTAAAAATGAAGTCAGTACTGGGACTCGGTGGTGCTCAAGATGTAGGGCCCACATCCTCCTCAGTGCTCTTCCTGCAGTTCCCAGAGTGTCCGCCGGGGCAACATGTGAGAGAGAGAGAGAGAGAGAGAGAGAGAGAGGCAGACACACATGGAGCGCAGCAGCAGGTAGGTGAATCCAACATGCCACAGGTCCTATCCTTCTGCTGGGAGGGTTTTCCTAGATAAGGAAAAGGAAAAATGCCCTGGACTAACTGGGGAAGAATAAGGTGTCTCTCATACTCAGTGGGATTAAAGGTGGGCCAGCCAGGCTGCTGGGCAGTGGTCTATAAAGAGTACTAAAACATCTTGGGAAGAGACCAGAAACATGGGCCCAGTTAACTCAGGTTTCTACATACAACTCCTTACATAACTGGTAGCAATATATTGGTTCTATCCTCTCTTGAAGCAAAGAGTCTTCTAGAGAAAATAAAGGGGGGGAGCCCCAAACAAAATACAAAACACCTCCCTACGTTTCATGCAGCTAAAGTGACCAAATCTTCCTGTTTAGCCAGGATTCCCAGCTTATACCTTTTATTTTAGCCTAATTATTAATAGCTACCCCTTCCTTCTCAAAATGTCCTGGTTCGAACGATAATTCTATGGTCACCATCTATTTCATCTATACAACAAGTTACTATAACAAAAAGATCGAAACATATGCCTTTTAGCAGAAAATTTATTAAAGGGTAATCAAATAGCAAAACTTCTATTTCACCGAAGAATACCAAAGTGGACCAACTGATAAAAGTAGAAAAATCACTCTTTTATAAACCCTAGGGCAATTATTAAATCACACAAGACATCAAATGGAAGTAAAAGCATTAAGTGAAGAGCTGATGGGGAACCAGAGATCACCCAGTGATGAAGTAACACCACGCAGATTGCTTTCGGTGGCAGGAGGAAAAATACAACTTTATAATGAAGGGTGTCAGTGCCCTAATACTTTGGTGAGCCTTCCCTTCACCAATGATGAGCAAGCATCACTTCAAGTGCATTCTCCTCACATTTAACGTGAATCTAATTGAGTCTTTAAATGTAATTTCCAGTTTATAGTAAATTCAGGAGACAAAGGAGCAAGTTAATGCATACTACATAAAGCGGCAATCAGGCTAATCTCTTCAACATGCCAATGAAATGCAAACAGGACTCCACTAGATCACAAGAGCCTAAGGGACATAAAAACCAAAGCAATGTGCAGTCTTAAAACCGACCAACTCTAAAGGACATTTTGGAAGAATCGGAAGTGTAAATATGAACTGGGCATAATGATAAAAAGGACTGATGATTAATTTTATATATAATAGGGTATTATTTATTATGAAGGGAAATGTCCTATTTTTTTTTCAAGAGATGGGTACTGAAATGTGGGTATATAAGAATAAGTAATAATTTACTTTCTTCCTTCTGCACACAAATATGATTAAAAAATAATTAGGTGCATGTGCATACACATAAACCCACATATATATAGCTCAGAAAATCAACTTCTCCATATCCCCATTAGGGGAAAGTGAAACTGTTTAAAGAATAATCACTTGAAGGGGTTTAGATGCGCCTGTCCCAGCTGCCCCCACACCTCGGTCTGGCTCCAGCATCAGGGATGTGCCCAAAGGCATGGTTCTATGGTAGATGGCAGCCTATACAACAGAATTCTAAGATGGCAGCTTTCCCAGAATCCCAGTGCTAATGGGGGTCTGAACAAATGGTCTTGAAGAGCTCTCTCCCTAAAGCAGTAGATGTTGCAACGTCCTATTCTTGTACTAACTCATGGGCACCTGTCTAGAAATCACAAATCTCAACTGAGGAGCATCACCAGATAGGGGGACAGCCTTGTCTCAAGAACACAGGCACAACACTTCATAAGGTGTCCTCAGGGCAAACAGGAATCTCTCCCAGGGTCCATCCTCAGAGTGGGAGGCAAAATCGTTTCCTAAGGGGGAACCCTCACCCTGGTAAGCATGTAATTATTAGACACTGGTGCTCTGAGGCCCCAATGGCAAGACCTCTTTGTAGGGAGAAAAGTCACAGGTGACAGGTAAAGAATAGAACAGGTGAGGAAGGGGGAGAGACAGGATTTATGATAGAAGCTGAGAGAGAGAGGTTAGATCTGATGAGAGACTGGAGGATTTATTAGTAAATATACTTGATCATGGAGGATTTATTGCTTAATAAGGGCCAGGAGAGGCATCTCAGTAGTACGGTGAGAAGTGCAGAGGAGGAACAGGAGAACCCAAGAGAAGGACAGATGAGGGCGGAGGGGAAGCAAGCAGATAGGAGGAGACATACTGAGCAGGAACAGGGAACAAGCGATAAAACACAACAGCACCATGGGGAGATAGATGAAATCTGAAATGGCAAAGCAAACATAAGGACAGAGGGGGCAGGAAATAAGAGAAAGACAGCTGGTCAAAGGTTGAGGGGGCAGAATTTGGAAGAGACAAGAGCTGACGATATCTCTCATATGTGCACTCACAGAAACTCATACAGTAGGGGCTCCAGAGGGAGGGACGAGGGCCGAAGGCAGGCGGGCAGAGAGCAGAAGAGAAGGAATGGAAGAGCAGTGACCTGGAGTGTGGAAGAAGGCAAGAGAGAGTCAGGAATGAGGAAAGTGCACCTGCCATGGGCACACCAGGGGGTTCACAGTAGTTAAAATACGACCGGCGCGGTGCTCATGAGCCCTTCTATGGCACATTCCAGAGTTACGGAATTCAAATTTCCCGTAGGCATAGAAGAACTGTTTTGACCAGGCAACATTTCTGTGGCTGACCTGAATCACAACGTATCTTACACAAATGCCTAGAACGAGAGTAAGAACGTGATCTACTGTCTTAAGAAAACAGAACTGGACAGCTCTTGGATCTTCCAGGCACTATGAGTGAGGCCAATCAGCCTAGGGGGCTCCTTATTTTCCCCACAGCCCTGCTCTCATCCAGCGGGTCACTGCATCATACAAACTGGCCTGAGGCTGCTAATTATTCTCCACCCATTCTTCTGTCCACCCAGAACCAACATAAGAGGCAAATGCTGGGTTAACATAATTAATGTAGACAGAAATCTGGCTAAATACTACAAAAGTCCATTTTTCAGGCGCCTGATTATCTACATTGCTGACTGCATTGATTACATCAATCCAATGATTGCCAGATCTTCACTTTCTTTCTGTTAGGCGAGGTTTAATCTAGAGAGCTAAGAAATCTCTCTAGGATGCAAATCGCTCCCAGGACACATGATTTTGATTGACAGCTCACAGAATAATTCTGGAATGCATGCAAAATTAGACTCACACACAAAATTTTCATGCAAAGGCAAACCTATCCATCAACATAATAGTGGCTCCCAGAAAGCAGTCAAGGTTCTGTGTCTGGAAACTGGAAACTGGGAAGTCTGATGTGTTAGAAGCCATAATCAAGCGTGTATGTTTGGAGGTTTTAATGTGTGTGGGTGCTTTCTAGCACATGACAAAAAGATCAGAAATTTGTATGAAAAATTATTATTATAGGATTTCAAATCACAATGGAGTATGTACTTGAGAATTGCTGGTTTACAGTTTGGTGGAAGAGATGGGCTGGTAAAATCAGATTCCTCGGGTCTTCAGTCTGTTTTTTGAACAGAAAACAGTAAAAGAAATACTCTCCCTGACTCATGATGCCAGTCCCTTAGAACACAGTCTAAATGTATGAGGTTGGCACAAGTTTAAGAGCTCTATTTCTTCCTAGCTGGAGTGTGAGGCAGATACCGTATACAAAGCACAAGAATGCAGTAAATTATCAGTGCAGAGTGCACGAAACTAAAGAAAGATCCAAAGGGCCTCCTGGATGAATACTCACTATTTGGTAGAGTCAGACAACTGATACTCTCGTCGTCTATCATAGCATTCCTGGATTCCAGGATCATTCCATAAACTCTTTATTGCATCTACGTATGGATTCTCAAAAGCAGACACCTTCTCCACGTCGACTTCTCGAACTAATTGTGCATGAGCCTGTTAAAAACAAACAGAAAGAGCAGCTTTAATCTCTCTCCTTTCTGTCACTGAGAAGTGCCTCTGGATCATATGGTATACTGTGCACCACTGATGTCTTCCTTCATATGTTTTTTCAAACTGTTTTATCAAAAAGTCTTGCTTCCTCTGTTTTTTTTTTTTTTCCTTAGAATCCAGTCCCAAATCTTTCCCTAGAGAGTAAACCTTGAGGCTACTTAAAGTCGATTAGAGGAAGACAGGGAAGACAGTGTTCAGTCCCCATCGTAACAGTGAGGATGTCATGTTACACATATGATCATTTCTGGTGATTATCTGAATCCTAAACCAATATTATTTAAGAGGAAAAGGACAGGAATAATTATTCCCTCTATGTTTATAGTTTATTATCATCAAATACATAATTTACCCAGCCCTTGAGTGTTTACAGCTTAGCAGAAACTTAATCAGACTCAACTAATTGGGTTTAGTTTCTATCACTCCTTTTCAGGATAGGGTATGAAACCCCTAGAAGAACAATTAATATTAATGATGTGAAACACAGTGACCATTCCCCCTCCCCTCCATTCCAATACACCTGACTTTCAAAGTATTTATTTCATATCTGCCTTATCGACATTATCAGACTGAGAATTTTATTAATTTTTTTAATGAGGAAAAAGGACTTTGTTATTTTCATCATACAACATTTAGCAGGAAAGAGGTAAGGAGATTTAAAAAATTTTTTCAACAAGATTGAAATCAAAATGCTGTACGGTCAACCCTGAAATTAACCAAATTATACCAGTGCCTAAAATCCCAGTCAAAATAAGTTTCATGGATGTAATAAGTTACATCCATAACCTGTAACTACACATGGTACATTAATATAATTACATTAATATATGTGTGTGAATTATACATAAACATAAATATCCAAATAAATATAACTACCTTGGAAATTGGAGATACGTAGCTGATAATATATTTATATACTCGCAGAAATACAAATTTTCAAACTAGGTTAGTTGATGCCTATCACGATCACATGATGACCTAATTATTCATTTCAAAGAGTTTTACGCAGATGGAATTTTAAGAAACTTTTTAAATAAGTTTTTTTTTTTTTTTTAAGATTTTATTTATTTATTTGACAGAGAGAGACACAGCGAGAAAGGGAACACAAGCAGGAGGAGTGGGAGAGAGAGAGAAGCAGGCTTCCCGTGGAGCAGGGAGCCCGATGCGGGGCTCGATCCCAGGACCCTGGGATCGTGACCTGAGCCGAAGGCAGACGCTTAACAACTGAGCCACCCAGGTGCCCGAAACTTTTTAAATAAGTTTAATCCATGTTAGACCCTGTCTGGTTCCCAAACTTCACCTTCCTTCTCTTCCAAGTGGGAAGGGCCATATCATTAGACTAATCTTGACTTAAGTAAGGTTTTAAGAAGCCCAACATGATGAGACTGAAGAAATCACCTTTCTTGTTAGCTCTGTTCTGACCTTGCAGATCTAGTAAGTGAGGAATTCTAGCTCCGCTCTGGACCCCAATCTTGGAAAAGGGATCCCTGTAGTTGCTTTCTGTACCTAATCCCTATCCAGGCAAACTGTCTTGTTATCCCAGCAGCAAACCTGTCAGCCTGGAGTCCTGTTTCTGAGTCCCACTCCAGGTGGGCCTACCTTAGTCAAAGGTCCTGTCCAGCAGGTGTATGCCTCATACCTCTGCGGTATACCTAATGTCAAGTTTCAACCCCTGCCTTTCTGCCCCGTGCTCACTGAAAGTTCTAACTTAGTGTCCTGAGACAGGACAATGATCACATCCTTGGCATAATCCTAAATTAGAGTCCCTATGGCTACGTCTTTATAACATAGTTTTCTAGAGGATTCTGTGGATATGGGAAGCACCAGGGTACAGAGCAGGGGTCTACACCTGCTGGATATACTCTAAAGACAAGGTTTTGAATCTGACTCTACTTCTTCTTATAACCCTAGGTAAATTGCTTACTCTTTCCAAATATTATTTCTGGTGGGGAACATACCGCCCCACCAGCCTCAGGTTGCTTTGTATTGTATTACAGTACTGTAGCTTGGTGATTCTCAAAAGGCAGCATTACATGGGAATTTGAGAGAAATGCAAATCCTCTGGTCCTCAAACTCTGTGCATCAGAAACTCTGGAAGTAAGGCTCAGCAACCTGTTTTAAGATTCTGATGCATGCAAAAGTTTAAGAACCAATGCAAACTACAAAGCACACAGATGCTCGTTGTTCTGATCATAATTAATTGCCTTGCTGGCCAAGAATTGTTATGGGAAGCTAAAGAGAAGAGGCTCACAGAGGCAACAATCATTCCAAAGCAGATGTCTTAAGGGCCAGAAAGCCACGAAAATGACTAACATGGGCCGGATACAGGCAATAGGGAGTAATGGGGACTGTGGCACATTGACAAACATGTTCCCTAATCAAAGACCACAGCTGCTGCTTAGCTACAACCAATTGCCGCCATTGGCAAAGGTAGGCCCATTGTTGCCAGATCTTCCAATTTTTCAAGGAAGCCAAAAAAAATCTAGGTTTTCCTATGAATTATCCCTTATTTTAGATCTTGGCAACCCTATAAAAGATAAATAAAACATATCTGTGCCTGAGCTAGATCAGGAGCCATTCATTTGCAACATACGTTCTAAAAAATTCTTTTCCATTTGCTTCCCCAATGAGCTTGACCAACAACACTGTCCTGCACAAGCTGGAATACAGTAGCTGGCTACTGGCGAACACATGCTAAGGAGTAGGTAATTTTCAGTCCTTTCCCACAATAATATTTAGACAAATGATTATACGATCCATAGGAAGAAATGGTTGGGACCTCACTCTGAACAAGGTAAAAACGACATGGCAACATAGGTTAGTATAGGTACTATTTCCACAATGCATTTGATACTTACTACCCTGGGTCAGTCATGTCATTTGGAAGGAGTCCTGTTTCTGTGTCTAGAGAAGTTGACTTCTGCCAGAGAAAACAGCTTCAACATACCAGACACTTTTCACTATTATGATTAAATGTTTATTGGACCCCAGTGAAATGCTAGGTGATACAGCAATTAGAGAACTAGACAGCGTTCCTGCAGGGCATGGGGGAAACAGTTCATATAGATGGCAACCAAACAAAGCACAGGATTATGTGCTCCAGGAGTAGGAACAAGACGGACTATTTGCATTTCCATCCTTAATTGCAGCTGACTGTATGGGCATTTAAATAAAGACAACATTCTCAACAGTGTATAGTTGTAACTTTCCACCAAGAGCCTGCTGCTATAAAATGAGACGACTTCTATTGCCAGAAAACTCCTGTAATTTCCTCTCTTGGTCTATCTCTGCTTGCTTTTACTTACAACTGGAATGCCTTCCCTCTTCCTCTCTGCACCTCCTTTATCTTTTGCTCCAGAGCTATATTATATGCCACCTCTCACAGGAAGTTATTCCTGATTTTCTTCCCCTCCAAAAAAAGTTATCTTTGCATCCTTTGCACCATGGAACTTCTATATTTTGCTTTACGTTAACAGTTACGTCTTGACTTATCCCCCTTCTAGTCTATACAGTGAGGAAGGGGCTGGAGCTTATGGACTCTGATTTCTTTTGGGGCCCACATAACAAATACTTGCCTAATTTAATTGCACTTAAAAAGTATACAGACTTTCCAACCAGGGCCCGGCAGAATGGCTCCCACGAAGAAGGGTGGCGAGAAGAAGGGCTGTTCTGCCATCAATGAGGTAGTGACCAGAGAATACACCATCAACATTCGCAAGCGCATCCATGGAGTGGCTTTCAAGAAGCATGCCCCTCGGGCACTCAAAGAGATCTGGAAATTTGCCATGAAGGAGATGGGAACTCCAGATGTGCGCATTGACAGCAGGCTCAACAAAGCTGTCTGGGCCAAAGGAATAAGGAACGTTCCATACCATATCCGTGTGCGATTGTCCATAAAACATAACGAGGATGAAGATTCACCAAACAAGCTCTTACACACTGGTTACCTATGTGCCTGTCACCACTTTCAAAAATCTACAGACAGTTAATGTGGATGAGAACTAATCGCTGATTGTCAAATAAAGGTATAAAACTGCCAAAAAAAAAAAAAAAGTATACAGAAACACAATGCCAAGTCCCACAAGTCAAAGTCAGTTTCCCAAGGAAATCTTCCACCCATTACCACTCTCATGACTACACAATCCTTGGCAGCACTTATCAGAGTAAATGGTGCACATCTATGTGTGTGATACCCGTTAGTATCTTCCTCCACATTCATAGTACAACTTCTAAGACAGGCTCAACATTGCTCGGGGCCTAGCAGAGTGCCTGCCACTTTGGAGAGGCTCAATAAATATTCGTTGGATGAAGGACACGAGGAAGGAAGAGTAGAAATTGTTCTAAACTTGCAACCAGGACATCTAACTTCCAGTCCTGGCTTAACCCATGACACTAACTGGCCATTACTTAGGAGAAAGTACATTACTTTTTTAGAACTTCATTTTCCTTGTCTATAAGATGATGCAATTAGACCAAATCACTTAAGGACTCATCTAAGCATAAGCAGTATGATTGTAAACACAGAGTAAATGCATCTACAGTGCATAGAACACCAAGGAGCATGTCATACCATTTACTGAAACAAGATCTCACTATTTCCAACCAGCGCCTGACAAAACGTTTTAGGCAAATATTAGTAAATCTGTATGTGAGTAATGCTACATGGGGACTGAGCAAGTAGAACTCAGTACAGACACAGGAGATCAAACAGGGTGTCAGAGAGAAAGATTTAGCTGGCAGGTGGACGTGAAGATGCATGATGCTTCTAGGGAGCAAGAGTAGATGAACCAAGCCTTAGTGGACAAAGTAAACATGGCACTTTCGGTTAACTGTGGAAAAACCAGTCTAGTGAGGAAGTTTCATGCTATTAATTCAAATTAACCTCCACAGGGAAAGATGCAATACTAATCTCAGCTATGAACCCTAACTCAGAAGGCAACCTCCAC